AGTGCCAACAACAAAATAACACAACAGTAGAGTTTGTGAAGCACTCCTTGTGCAAGTAAAAGTCCCTTATGAGCCCTAATTGTAGGACCGGCCAATGCTTTAGAAGGGAAAAACTCATCAGTTTTCTACTAAGCCATTCTAAAAGTAAACTCTGAATAGGAATGGAAAGTTATTTTTTCTATATTTTAGCAACAAACAAACAAATAAATAAATAAATTTCTTTTTTCAAGGATTGAATTAATTTATTGCTGAGAATGTCCTAAGTTCCTTGGAGACGTTCTGTCTCATCAACATACTGCAAACAGAACAAAAATGCATTCTTAGGATAAGTACTTTATCAGATCACAAGAATTTTTTGTAAAGGCACAAGAACTGCACAAGAGAATGACCTAATTCAAGCAAAACATCCTCAGTATTTCCCCTCCACATCCAACGTATGAGAAAAGCAGAAACCTGTGAAAAGATCAAAGAGCATTCAGTATACGTTGTGAGATACTCAGCTGCAGGAATCATCTGGAAAATTCAGTGGTAGTAAACGGCTGAAGTGTGGTTTAGAAATGCAAAGTAAACCATGCTAGTCTAAATCAAGACATTGTCACTTTTAGAGTCAAATTTCAGCAGGACAGCTTTCATAAACTGCTCTGAGATGTATGTGATCTGTTTGCTGAATAGATTGGAATCTGCACCTCCAGAAGAAATTAGTAAGATTTAAAACAATGACAACAAAAAAAGAATTCCAAAGCCCTGAAGCTTGTGGCAGATATTGAAGAGTTCCAAGGGTTTGTTTTTCATTTTTTTTAAACTCTCCATCAACAACTGCACACCACTCAGCAATTCCCAGTCATCATCAAGATATTAGCACCCTGCGAAGCAATGATCCATTAATAAAAGCATAAAATAACCATTAAGAGAGCCCTCATTAAACCAGAGCATCTAGGAATCTTCAGCAAATGCAGAGCAACCCAAGCTAAAGAGCAGGACTCTGCATCACAGAAAGCTAAACCTCGAATGTTTCCAACAGACGATGGCCAAACAGCTACTCCTTTTATAATGACTTTCCATCAGAATCCGTGGCTTAACTGTTGGCTGCTCAAACAGAAATCCCTGTCTGCTCTTTCCCACAAGTCACACCATCACCAGGGCTGTTTACACATCTCTTCCACCATAGCCCTTTTCCTTTTTCAACTTAGCAGGCCTTCAGAGCAAGCTCTGAGGTTTGATCAGCATTCAGTTCTGGTTTCATGCTCTATCAAACTTTAAGAGTTACCATATTTTATCAAGCCACCACAGCAGTAGCTGTTTGAAGACCGTGCTGTAAGGTTGAATGAGAAGTTTTTCTGTTGCAATCTTGGAGCACCAACAGGCACAGCTGTCAGTCAGAGCTTTCTATACCTTACATTCCTGTCCCAACTTTTTACAACATGCAGCTGGCCCACTTAGCACAAATCTGTCTTAAATACCTTCTTCATACCCAATATGTAAGCTTCAACATACTCAAGCACACAGGCAAAACTGTAACAATCCCTGTCCTTCTGTAAATCTTGAAGTATGTATCACACGTCACTCAGCTCCAGTGTCCAGGCTGGGACCTCTCCCACTAAATTGCCATTTTTTCAGCATTCAAATCCCTAATAGCTCTGCTGATACCTATAAAGTGCAGTGAGAAGCAAAAATTATAATAATGATGATAATTAAAAGAAAAAAAGAAAACATGAATTATGAAAACACACGGAAAGCATTTCAAGAGTTCTACTGATTGGAGAAATGAAACAAGATACAACTAAAAAATGCCTCACCCCTGCTCCCTCTGCTATTCCCCATGCTTTCCATCTCCTCACAGAACTGAATTTCCACTGTTGCCATAAAGCAACAAACTCTCTCACCTCCGCTCCAGAGCTAATTTGAGCACTAACTGGTAGATCAGCAAAACAGTAACTCAGTAGCCCTCATGGGAGCACTTGCTTTCTTCCCTTCTCATATTAGACATCAGAGGCTATGCTGAAAGTTATTATAAATATCTTTATTCTCTCCAGCCTGGCTTGGCTGAAAGATATGCAGAAAATCCTAAAATGATTTCTGCAACAAGTTTTTGACCTGAATACATTTATCACATCATCTCTACTCAGATTCTGTAAGCAGCTTTCACCCTAACACATACACAAACTATCTTCATAGAAGCTTTTGGCTTAAATTCAGCAGAGTAGGATAGAATCTGGCAAAATAAATATAAATGTTTAGCTGTGGCTTCCATTTGTTTATATTGATTGATCACTGAAGGCAGCAAAATTTGCACTCCATGGGGAAAAAAACTACAAGAAAAGCAACTGAGAACAAGAGAGTCTCTACACAAGGCCAGGACCCACTTGTCCTCTTCCTTGCAACAAGTCAAGAGTTATTGGTTCAGTGGTGGCAAACTACCATATATATATAACACAGCCACTTTTGGTAAAAGTCTTCCACCAGTTTTTCTTATGCATATATTTCAAAATATAGTGTGTGTGTATATATATACATACACATACACACGTATCTGCAAAAATAGCTAAATCAATACAATGTGATGAAGTTTTCAGCTTGAACCTCTCCATATGTATCAAATCTGAATATGAAATCTATCTACTCAGAAATCTTAAAAAAAAGAAGAAAAAAAAGATTCTAATCCATCCCTTTAAAGTCTGAGAGCTACCATTTTAAGTCATCTTGCACATTCCTGAACGCTACACAAATTTCTTCATTGTACCTGCTTCCTTCATATGGATTTAGATCCAGGCACACATTTCTCAGAAGAAAACTTGGGAAAAGGGGCTGAAAAAAGGCTGCACCTTCCCCATTCCTACTGCCTTGTTCATTTCTTGAAATCTCAGCTGTTCAGCTTCCTCTCCCTCCCACTCTTTCCTTGTGTTCACCTGAGGGCTGCAGCCATTCTGCTCACACCTCACTTGCAATATTCACTAAACACTCAGAACCTAAATGACATTTTGTGTCCCATCAGCCCATCTGCGAAGCAGTAGTAGCAATAATTCCCCAGTTATGTCATAAAGATGTGAAGATCGTCTTCTCATAGCTACTTAAAAGTTTTGAAGATTTTCCATACTGACTTTAAAAAGAAAAAAACTTACTCAAAGCACACTTCAGCTGAAAGCCCAATGAGATTACAGGAGAAACTAACATAATTTCTTGTCCTTTATCTTTGAAAATGTAAAAATTAATACGATAAGCATGACACAATCATTTTAGATGAGGTAAGAAATACATACTTTTAAAAGGGGAAAGAAAAGGGAAAGAGGCAGAAAATCTGAGAACTGAACTCAACCAGACAAGCAGAACAGACTAGATAAGACCCAACTGCACATTATTCAGGGTCTTGTTGCAAAGATTGGAGAACTCTCTGAAATGCAAAGTATAACCATGTAAGCTTTTGCCAAAAGCCATATAACTGACATCCTTGCCATGTTCAGGAAAGATAGTCTCTATTTGTATATAAAACACTACAATAATCAAAGTCATGCTCAAAGTTTAAACAGGAACATCCTTATAAAACAAAGGCTGAACTGACTTGACATTTTGCAATAAAATTACACATTGGTTAGAGGCTAAATGTAACCAACTTAACCCGTTCTTTGCCACTGACAAGTATGTCAACTTTTTGGATGAGAACTTTCTTCTTCCAAAAAGCTGTGTGTGAGCCATTTCCCCTTCTGCTGCACTTCACTCCTTAGAGAAATTGTCATGAACATTCACGGTGCTTCTTCATAATCTTTCTCCAAAACAGTTCTTAGAACTCTCTTTTCAACAAAGGAGCAGCTCCCATGCACAAAAGTTAAAAAAAATAACTGCTGGGCAGAAGGATCCTGAAGGATGTCTGAATCTCAAGCCTGTCAGCTGGCCTTTTTGTTCCTCCCACTCACTGAGAAAAAAAAAAAAAAAAAAAAAAAAAAAAAAAAAAGAGGAACTGAGAGGTAGAAATGAAGCTCAAAAGTCTATCCTGAGTCATCACTCTGTTTCTTTGCTTGTATTTAAACCAATTGAAAACTCCTGCTTGCGAGCCTTTAAAGCTAATGAGCCACAGCCAGACTGCTGGATAGAAACCATTTCTGTGACACCAGGATCTCCAAACTCATCAGCAGGGGAGGAAAAAAGCATCAACGGGAGTTACGCAGAGTTGTGAAGCATTTCTGTGGAAGGTATCCGGTCAAGAACAATGCAGCGCGGTCCAGAGCATTGTGTTTGGTGATTTCCTACCCAAACCTTGCAGTTATTTTTGTATCACTTTCCTGTGTGCTCCTCTCAGCTTAGGGCTGCTCTTAATTTAATGCAGTGGTGAATATTAAAGAAAATTACCAGTGCTGGGTTTGTTTTAATTCAAGAAGCCTTGATCACTGATTAGCAATGTCACTTCTGTTCCCAAGAGAGACTGTGGCTTCTGAGGAACGCGCTTCTGACTGCGCCCGAGCTCAGCTCATACATCAGCACTGTCAGTGCCTCCAGCAGTCCTTACAGGAACCTGTTTGCTTTTATAGGGCACTCTTAGGCTTAAACCACGTAAACGGTACGAGCTGACAGGACACAACAACAGCTTGTAATGATGGATGCACGATCTCACTGTGGGAGACACAGGCGGTTTGCGGAATACCGAGTGTCAGACAAGTTACGGATGCACGCTGGGCAGGGAGCCGCGGCGTGCAGCTCCGGCCCCATTCCCCCTAAGGCTGCCTGCGGGCAGCAACACGGCTCCCGGCTCAGCTCTGCCCGCTCTGCGCCGTTCCGTGCCACGCACGCCCGCTGCCGCTCAGCCCAGCCTCGCGTGAGCCCGCAGCGGCACCGCTCAGCACCGCGCCCGGACGGAAGGCCGGCACGCGTCGCGCCCCCCGCCCCGCGCCGGGCCCGCCTCAGCGCCGCCGTCTCTCCGGATGCCGGGTGCCGGTCCCGGCGCAGGCCTCGACGCGGCCCTACGGGGCGTGGCCGGGCCTCCCCGCGCCGCTCCGCCCCGGGCCGGCGGGGCCGCGGTGCCGGGGGCGGCGGACGGGGCAGGGCGGGAGCCGGGCAGCGCGGGGCAGCGCCATGGGGCTGGAGACGGAGAAGGCGGACACCCGCATCTTCATGGACGACGACAACTTCCCGCCGGGCGGCCCCGAGCCGTCCGAAGCGGAGAAGTGCCCGGAGGACGCGCTGGAGCGGGACCCCCGCGGGCTGAACGCCCACCTCCAGGTGCCGGGCGGGGCGGTGGGGGCGGCGGGGCCGGGACCGGGAGCGGGCGGCGGCGGCTGACGGCCGTCGCGGCTGTTCGCTTTTCCAGCTGGGCTTCGAGGACGTGATCGCCGAGCCCGAGCTCACCCACTCCTTCGACAAGGTGTGGATCTGCAGCCACGCGCTGTTCGAGCTCAGCAAGTACGTGCTGTACAAGCTGCTGAGCCTGCTGCTCGCCGTGCCGCTGGCCCTGGTGTTGGGGATCGTCTTCGCGGCGCTCAGCTGCCTGCACATCTGGTGAGTGCGTGAGGCGCGGGGCGGCGGGCCGGGGCTCTGCCGTGCCGCCTCTGTGCCACCGCCGCCGTGACGGCCTGCGGGCGGCTCTGCCTGCTGGGCTGCTGATGGGAGAGGAATTAAAATGACGCTCTGTCCGTGATTCAACTCCATGCTTTGATCTTAGCAGCTTTCCCGTCTGGGTGAGCTCCTGTTGCTGTTTGTGGGGTGCCTTGCCTGGCTATTGATCGCTTGCTTTTGTAAACCGGCGTACAGACAGTGTTAAAACACGTGTACTGTAATTGAAGGGCCCGTGCAGCAGCATTTCTTACACCAGACTCGTTTGCTCACAGAGTGAAGAAAGCTTCAGGGGGCCCAGCTCAGTCTTTCTTTGCCACTGTCACAAAGTCGGCTGTCACTGCCTCGCAGCAGGTGCACGGCCATCTGCAGGTACGGTGCAGAGAACCCCTCCTGAGCCCAGGAAAGCCATGGCCGTGGTTCACAGACAAATACAGCAGCTCTCCAAAGCAGCAAAGCTGATGTACTTTATACAGAAACTACTGGTGAAATATTGCGAGCCCAGAGAGGCAGTTGATTGTGGAGAAGGAAGAGAGGAAAAGAATGATGCTGAGGAAGGAGAGTCCATCAGGCTGCACAAGAAAGCATGAATGCACGTGTGATCAATGTCATTCTTGCAAACCAGGGTTTCCCATATACATAAGTTTTGATCTATGCCTCATTTGCCTTGGCTAATATTGGTATCATGAAGAAGTCAGTAAGGAAGACAAAATGCTATCCGGAACTGGGAAACAAACTCGGTATAAATGCAATGGTTGTTTGAACCTCTGATTGCAATCTTTTGGTTGCAGATTTCCATTTTCAGAAGGAGAGTGGAAATTTGGGTTGATGGCATTGTTAGGAGCTGCTTCAAAACCTGACTTGACTTAGATTTTGGAGCATGCAGACTCTGCAGTAGGGAGTTGCAATATAATTTAGAGCTGCTACTTCGCTGGGCCTCAAATTATTATGGACATTTTATAGTGGGCCTAGACTTTCATATCAGCCAGTGGTCACTGTGCTGTAATGTACCAGAACTGCAAAAGGATATGGTGGACATACGGATTTCCTATAGCGAAATGTCTGTGGAAGAGTTCATTGATGCTCAGTTTGTTCAGAATGATAACATTTAATGCTGCAGAATGATCTTATATCTGAATTTCACAGGCTGGATATGTGGACACGAGTTCCACTGAACAGGACTCAGAGGTCAATTTCTATTTGTGCAAGCAGTCCCCAGTGACTCTGTCAGGAACTGTGGTTCCCAGTACATCCGAAATAGAACTGAGTGAATGTGGCACTTGATTTTGAAAAGTTTCCCTTGACTTTCTGCAAACACACTTGTCTCCCCAGCAACTGATTTTCTGTGCCTAAGTTCACTGTCAGTATGGAGTTGATCTTTCATTTTGCTCTTGCACCTGGATGGGTGTGAGAGAATCACATAGCTCAGGAGTGCTGTCTGCATCCCCTTGGACCCTACCCAGTTGGTAGCACAGTATAGTCTGGTCATCCCACAAACACAGCTTGGATTTGTTCCAGCACAGCATTTGAGCACACTGAGGTTATGCTAACTTATTTCTGCAGCTCCCAGTGTTCCAGATTTCTTGGGATTAAGGAATTCAAAGTCTCTGTGTTTGGGAGGATAGTACAGAAGCAACTGATACCAGAGGCATTAAAGGGACCCTAAACACTGGTTCCCGTGTAAGCCTGTTGGGTCTGTAAAAATATCAACTCCTTGTTTTGTGGTTGCGAGGATGGGAATTACATTATAATTCTGTCTTCAGCTGTTTAAACATCATGGGAAAGCTCTGGGCACTCCCTCCCACATGGGTGTCTACAGGAGGGCTTATCAGAATCTCTGTGCCTCATTTGCAGCATCCAAACCACTGAGATGTTGACATTGATCAGTTGCAGGGGAGCCTTTCCTAAGAATAAATTAGAAGCTGTTTGAACAACACTTGGAAGTGCCAGGGAACAAAACTCTGTTGATAGTCACACACACCTTGCAGTTTTGTCAACATGCTAAAAATCCACTGAAATCTGACAGCATTCCTCGTGCACCAAGGATTCTTCATGATTTGCACCCATTGTGTCTGATAGTAAATGTTGTCTTTCATCAGAAAAAAAGAGCACTAAAAAGGGAAGTGAACACATGAGACCTGTGGAAAGCAAAAAGAAAACTTCAGTTTTCATTGCGACCTATTAAAAGTGAACATACTTAGGTTCTGTTCTCATATTACTTAAGCTAAAATCCAGATTTACACTGCCTGGCAAAAGATACTGAAGCTAGCATGACCTACATACAAGCTACTTCAAGGAAGGCCACTTCTCTACACGGCTTCTCTCTTAGTGATGATCTTACTGCAGCCGATACACTTGAAGTTGTCAGACCAACTTTAACAGCTATCTGTGAATATCTGAACAACCTTTTAAACATGTCCCTAGACTGAGGCTGTTAAAATTATTGATTTTTTAATATGAGCAAAACACTGCTGGTTTTCCCGGCAGCCCATGCAAAATCATGATCTCTGTGGTCGATCCAGAGATGAATTCTTGTTCCAAGCCACATGTTGGCAGCCTCTTGAATTTCACATATGCTTTTTTGTAGTCTTATCTGTAAAATGTCTCATTATATATTTATTCTGAGAATTGATGATGCATCATTTGAGAATCTGTAACTTCAGGTTGGAGATGAGCTCTAAAACACAAGGAGTCATCCAGCTTTGTGTTCTTGTAATCAGCTTGAGTAGCAGATACTCAAAGCTCCTCTTCACATAAGCTTCCGTTCACAAATGTAGCCAGGGCATACACACAGAGGAGCAGATTTGAATGTGCATCATCTAAACTCTTTCTCTGCAACTCCATTTACATGGCTGTTTGCTATCATATTCAACCCCAAAAATCTCCCTGCTTGGCTGTCTAAAATCAAAAGAAGTTACAGCACTGCTGTGCCACAAAGGCATACCACATAGTCTGATGTTGTCTTGGTATATACCCTTGTCCTCTGAAAAGGGAGTAGGTGGGTGTTGTCTTGTTTCTTTTTTAGTTTTGTCTTTTCCAGTCTACGTGAGTCTTGGAACATGAAATGGTTTTATTGTACTTTGTATACTGGGTTTGGGTCATGCAAAGCTTCAATGGTTATGGCTTTACTCATAAGTAGCCCAGTGGTTAGTGGGGCTTTACAAGAAGCTCTGAAACTGCTAGCTCATTTTCAGCAATCTATATTTGCTTATACTGTAGTGCCATGCAAAACAAAATCATGATGTAGTACACACGCAAGCCTGGAACTGGATAGTTTAAGCACTGGATGGTTTAGTATTTGAAAAATGTCATTAAGATTTGTCTGAGATTCCATTTTGAAATACTTCACAGGAGATGTGATTTTTAACTATAAAGCAGGAATCTGGATTAGCAGTGAATGACTGCTGCAATACGTTGTCCAGCTCCATGAAAAGTTGAAGTACCTCCTCAGAAAATACCGTTGGATGGATATTTTATAACATATATGTACAGTGTGATTCAAAGACAGGTTACATGAGTAGTTGAAATGCTCTGATTGTTCGTCAGCTTAGATACCAAATTCAGAAAAGCTTTATTTTATTTCCCAGTGCTCTACTGCTCTACCAAGAGTAGCTCCAAAATTGCAGTAAATGTTGATATCCTTAGGATATGTATATTCTGAAAGTAAGGAAAACTAAGACTGACTTTTATTTTAAAATTGAAAGCTGCTTGCGTTCTGCTGTTTTTTGTATGCAGTATAGCATAAATATGAATAATGTGTTAAAAGATTAAAAAACATTACCAAAACATTTTTATATTTATTGTATATAACCTTATTGAGAGATGTTGAGTTGTGGATGATCTCTATAGCAGTTGCATGTAGTATGATGGCTGTTTTCCCAGCCTTCCTTAATGAACTCCTGGTGATTCGCTGCAACTTGCTGTGAAGGTTTTACGTAACGTGGTATTTGTTTAGGTTGTAGTTTGTGTGGTCCTGTTTATGGATGATCCAATAGAAATGTAGGCTTTCAGTAGAAACATAGGCCTTTCTGCTCCCCTGCAGATGAGTTAGATTGGGGGAAAAAAAGAAAGGAGGAAAGAAAGAAAAAAAAAAAAAGCAGGCCAAATTAAATTTAGATGGCAGCAGAGGAGCAGTATTAGCAGTTTGTAAACTAAGTGAAATGGAAAATGGGTGAAGTCAATACAAGCTGAGTAGCTACTTCTGGTGTTTTCCCTGTGTTGGAGAAGTTTTTTGCCTTTGCATTATTGATGTTCATCAACTTTATCATGAAGCCCTTATTTTATTTTCTATAAATCATCTATTCTATATACAGTGATACTATAAGTGATTAATAAACACGCAGTTTACAGAGTTCAGTTTAATACTACAGATACATGTTCCAGTAGCACTCACAGTTCTATGTGCTGTGTGTTTTACTAGCTATTTCAGCAGAGACAAAGAAAGAGAAGGTTTTAGAAAAGCTATTCTTGTTTAAATCCATCTGGGTTAGCTTGGAGTGCAGCACAGACATGGTAGCATACAGCTTGCACTGTACGATTAAAGCAAGAATCCAGATCTACATTGAAAATAATTCTTTCATTCTTACTCTTCAGGTATCGAAGCTTTAATTTTTTTAATGCAACAGTTGCTTGTGTGTTTGTTTTCTACACTGTTATTCTGAGTAGTACTCACTGGAAATACACAGTATTTACTTAGATATTTTTCAGACATGTGACAGAATAATAAATATTTTGCCTATTACTTCCAACCAAAGTCAGTGAGAGTTCTGCAGCTGAATTTTGTGGAAGCAAGACTGGGATCTTAAATCTTGAATGCAGCAGCAAACTGGAGCAGCTCATTATCTCTATCAAATGGATGTATAGCTTCTTCTGCCTCATGTAGGAAATAAATACATTAAACATGGTGCAGAGATCTTTGAGAACCTTGTTCTAGTGTGACTTCAGTATTACATATGTTATGCGTACATGTAATTTGTTTGCACCCAAGTAAGAACACACAGCTTAGTGAAATGGCCAGGGGTTTGGGCCAGGAAGTGGTGAAAAAAAAGAGAATAATCAGTGCTGATGTGGTCATTGATTTTGCATGTGGCAGCCCTGGTGCACCAGCTGTGTGCACACGCCTGGCTCATCTCTGCTGTCAGTGAGCTTAGCTTAAGCCACCACTAATGACATTGCTTTGGAGTCAGGACATATGGAGAGCATACGTGGATGATTTCTGTGCTTGGCAGACTGAAAGCACAATTCTTTCAAGCATGCAAGGAGATAAAAAGATCTTTTCCCTCAACAAGAGTTTTGACTTTGTTCTGCTTTTTTGTTACTCACCTGTAAGTGAAAAGCTTCACAGTATCAACAAGATGCCATATATCAGAGGTCTGGCCTGTCTCTGTACTATAGCAATAAAATGCATTTCAGTATTGCTCTACTGTTTCTGTGTTGCTGTAACAACTTTAACATTGGTCTTGGATTGGCAGGAATGAAGTATGAATGGCAAGAGGTGTGTGTGTGTGTGTGTGTGTGCACACAAGAGAGACAGAAAAGAAGCACCTGAAGAGACATCAGAGCGAGGGACACAAGAATGCCCTGAAGGGATCATAAAGAGCTCTGTTCCCAGGTGATCAAATTGGGAAATGTATGATTTCTGTCAAGCCCTAAAGACCCCACTCCTGACTCATTAAGGGACCTGTCCTTAACCACAAGTTGCAGCATCACCTCCAGCAGCATGAGAGAACAGGAAAATGTTCATCCCTATTGCAGGCATGCCCAAAAGTTAGCTCAGTGTTGCCAGTTAGGAAGAAGCAGAGACATGACGAGGGCTGACAAGCTGTTGTGCACAAGTGAGCCGAGACAGAGGAGCGTGTAGGTTATGGTACTTATGTAGGTGTGAGGCTGTCAGTGAACAAAATCACTGGAGAATGACTGCAAGATCCCTTCCTTTTCCATAAATAAGCACTTTTCTTCTCTCAATTGCCCTATGCTATGGCAACAGTAATCTCACAGATCTTCCATTTGCTCTTTTACAGGATTGTGGTGCCTTTTGTGAGAACCTGTCTCATGGTCTTGCCTTCAGTGCAAACCATATGGAAGAGCCTGACAGATGTTTTCGTTGCACCATTCTTTCATAGCGTAGGCCGATGCTTTGCCATGGTTAATATACATCTGGATCAAGAGTAACTGTCAGGGTTGCAACACTGCTGTAATTGTAGATGGTGTTATACCTCTTTCTAATGTAACATGCAAGCACTTACCATTCATTCCAACCTGTTAAGATGATAATGGCTGGTTAAGTGGGAACATGCTATTATTCTAAAACTCATTTATTTTCAGGGAATGAATTTAAGACTAAGTAGGCAGTTTTCATATCTAACTATTTTAACAGCAGAATAAACGTGGAGTATGTTGGCAACACTTTATTTTAATGGTACGTTGATTGCTGGATTACAGAAAAAATCTCTTAAAGGTTTAATTGCCACCATTGTGATGACTATTGGCATTATTACAAGAAATATTTAAATTAGTAGGCTGAGATACTCTGGGTGAGAATGATCTCTGGGGTTTCAAATTGACTTCACTGCAATTCCTACAGGGATCATTTTTGGCTCTCACTATGCTAGATGATGTTGTCAGCCCATTATTATCTGCATTTAAAAAGAAGGGCACGATGCATAAGCATACGGAGAAGTTAACTCTTCCATAATTCTCCTGTATTGGGGAAAAAGCTCCCTAGAAGGTTATCCCTTAAAATAAGGTGTTACCTAATGATTTGGACTATCAGCTAATCTGTATATTTTATTTAATAAGAGGTTAACTTTGCTGTATATTTTGTACCTTTGTAAATGGCACTTGGTGAGCTTTCTTTGAAGCATTATTTCTATGGTATTTGAACTCTAACAAACTTACTAGGCAACAAGAGTGAGAAACTGCAAAAAAAATGACTTAAACTAAAATTTCAATGTATAAACTATGCAGATTTTTAAGCATTGCTGTGCAATTGTAGGATATCCATTATATATATAGTTGTGTGCAACAGAAAAGAGTATTTTTAACACAAGACTATGCAAAAGAGCTGGAAATACCTGTTTATGAGAAGTGTTTTGGTTTTTTTTTTAATTAAAAATGGAAAGTAGTAAATGCAACCCTGCCTAATTCTGTGTGTTATCTGTGTGGACATTGTGATATTTAAAATGATGGATGCTACGCTGGCACTTTAACTAAGTAACAAGCTATTAAATAAGTCAAGTGGGTGTAATTGGTATCCTTGTCTAACTCCTTGTCTACTAACTTGACTCTCTATGTTGCTTATTCTACTTTAAAGCCTAACCCATAACAAAGCCCTTTTTCTGTCTGCACCTAATACAGCTTGTAAAGCAGAGTAACAGAACATATGCAGAGGTACAGTGAAGTTACATTAGCCTTCTAATGGGTTTATGCTGCTGTTTTTTCCTGCTGTTGTAAATGTTTGTATGATTTAGAATTTTATTTTCTAAAATGGTGTCACAGATTTCTTATCAAAAAGGACATATAATAAAATAATAAAAAAATCAGCTTTTTCCAATTGTCAACTTTATTTTTTCACATTTTTCAACTTTTTAAAAAGCTCTTAAAATGCTTAACAGTGTAGAATACTTCCAGAATGTGAGAGAGGGAAAATAAGTAGATAAGCATCAGTACTGTTCTGCTATTATCCACTGTATTCAGCTTGTAGAGGAAAATTATGTATCTCTTTGTGTCAAATTATGCCCAGACAGAATGTGTCTTTTTCAAGTCTTTTGGTGCAGAATTTTGGCTGCATCTCCCAAGCTTAATTCTTTTTAAGGGTGCATGCTTTATTTACAAATGAGCTGCAGAATTTCCTTACTCATTGGCCTGCAGAAGCTAGCTAACACTGCGTACTTTTTGCACATTAAGAACATCTTTCTACTTTAAGAACTTCTTTTCGATTTGCCACAGTTAGAGAGGGATTCGTATGGCTTTTGAAAACTGGACCCTAATGACTAATACACACCGAGACTTGTATGGAGTTTGGTCTTCTTGCAGAAGTTAGCTTATTCTTCAGATGTGTTCCTACCTTTCTTCTGTTAAAACTGAAGTATTTGTGCTGAAAATAAAGATTGATCAGGCCAGGCTTGACTTCTTTTGATATTTTTTTCTTTTACAAATTCCAAGGATGTTTACAGATATTTTTCACACAAAAAAAAAATCCATATAATGAATTAATTAACCAAAAATGTGCCTTGAATCAGCACTAGTCTAAAAAGAGGTGGTCTAAAAGGAGGCCTATAAAACCCTGAGATACGAGAGAACTCAGGTGTGCATCCTACCTTGAGATTAAGGAAAAGTGTAGCCATTTAGGTTATATACTATTGCATGTATGCACTCAGTTGCTTACCAAAGTCATCCAGCTCTAGCTACCACAGAGAATAAAGGAGAATGATTTTCTCAGTTCTTTTGATTTTGAGCCTTTTTGTTTGTCATGAACTGGTTCTGTTATTGTGCATCTCCCCCAGACAGCACTGGATTCCAGCAGTCGTGGACTTCAGGATGTGAAAGTTGTGATGTATGACAAAGTTCTGCCATAACTGATACCATCCATGAACAACAGGAATGGGTGCTGGCTCTAATCTGTGTTTGTAGATTTAGGATCTATTCCTTAAATTCATTTCTAATTGTTTTGAAACATGGACAAATGATACCAGCTGGCACTGGAACAGAAATGTGCTGGTAAAAGTTTAGGCAAAAGAGAGAATGCAGAAACTTAATCTCATTCTCTACTACAAATCTAGGAAAATTTGCATCTGATTCAGATCATCTGTTTTGAATTGTGCTCCCTCTTCCCCTCTGTGAAATGGGAAAAATATTGTTGCTCAAAGCGAGGGTAAACTTCCCATCATTAGGGCAGAGTTGTGAGGGTAAGTAAATGAAGTGTGAGATGTTCCAATTCTAACCTATTTTTTGTTACTGTGGACCTTACAAACAGCTGGAGATTCAGTTCTGTAATGTAAAATGTTTTGGTATTATGTTTGTCATTAGAGGTCACAAGTAACAGACAGAAATAACCCCATTTATCTTCATGGGCTTTTCTCTTTTAATTGACAGTGAAATCTAACCTGCCTCATTGTGAGAACATTTCCTTAAAATCCTTCTAATCTGACTGTAGAACTTAGATATTTGTATTTTATCTTTCCACACCCTACGTGTCCACCACAAAAATTGGCACAAATTCTTAACAGAAACTTTGAGATCCTAATAAATGAGGGCCCTTCTCCACCTACCCAGAAAGCTCACCCAGACACCAACTGAAAAATGCAGAGCATCCCTGCAGCTCTGGGACTTCAGACCACACATTCACATTTAATGGAAGCCAAAGAATGGTAAGCTCATTATTTTTACAGGGTGTGATCTTTCCCCCACCTGCAGAGATAAAGCTAATGCTATTAAGCTGTACTAACTCTCTTTTAAAAATACATGAATAAAAACTTTTTTTTTTTCAAAAAAATGAAAATGGAACACAATCAAATTCTGGACACTCTGCTGTGTTGTCTGTTAGCACGCTGTGTTCTTGAAGACCTCCAATGAGCACACAGAACCACCAGTTATGCACTGAGGTGCTTTCTTCATGCAAGGTTTTACAACTGAGGGGTGAATTATTAAGGCTATTTTTAACCTAGTGACACTGATATTCCAAAGATTATTTCAACAAAAAGAAAATGTCTTCTGTAGAGGCAATCCAGAGGAACTAGGATAGGTTCCGGCTCTGAATCATCCTCCTGAGAAGAGTTTCTGCAGTGATTAATGCAAAATGTTTGTTTTGGCTTGGGTCCTTTCCTCTGATGCATTAAAAAAAAATTGTTTCCTCTAAAAATTGTGCAGGCCTATGGAAGCAATCTAAGTATCTAAGCAGCGGCTCTTCTCCACGTATCTCTCATAACCTCCTAGTTTAGATGTTAGGAGGAAATTCTTTACTCGGGGTGGTGATGCAGTGGCACAGCTGCCCAGAGAAGCTGTAGGTGCCCCAGCCCTGGAGGTACTGAAGGCCAGGTTGGATAGGGCTGTGGGCAGTCTGAGTTGGGGATGGCAACCTGCCTATGCCAGGGGGTTGGTATGAGATGGTTTTTAAGGTCCCTTCCAACCCAAACCATTTTATGATTCCGTAATTCTATGATCTCAGTGACAAAAAATCATATCTTATATAAGCCTCAGGGAGGGGGTGCTTGAGTCCCATGAGAGGGACTAGTTCTCAGATTGCTATTTCTACACAATGCAGTTAATAACATGCTAGAACTGGCTGAATGGCACAGAATAGTGTTGACACCAACCAGCATTCGTGGCCTAGCTCAAATGGACTTTGAACCTGATGATGAAAAGGCTTGAGAAAAGAATGACCCAAATTGCTCGAGTCTGGAAAAGTTAACCTTCAGCTGACAGAATTAAGGCTTTTGATCTATTTTCTGCACCAACCAAGCGCTTACAAGCTACCTTGATTGAAACCTATGGGGACTAGCTATAAGAAAAGATATACATACCTAACACAGGATTGAAATGATAGTCAGGCATTTAAATCCAGAACTGTAATCCCTGCCCAGATGCCACCCAGCTAGGAACATGTTTAAACTCAGGAGGCACCTCCCTTTCATGTAACCTTCCCTCAGTACCTACAGTTTTATTTTGGTCATGCCTAGAACTGCCCTTGTTTGAGCAACTTGGCATCTTACTCGCATCCAACCCCAATCAGAATCCCAAATTAAGGGAAGAGAATGCCTTGGTCACCTGAAAATACAGTGACTGCGTGTCAGCAGAGTGGGATACTTCCCAAAATATGCTTTCAAAGGAGTCCAAATGCATTAGCACACCTCAGATAGGCAAAATTGATCTCGGGTGTCTCAGTTGTTGGATTACACTTCTAGCCCCCAGGCTGTTGTGAAATGTGCTGTGGCAGCAGCACCTCCGTTTAAAAGGGAATCACTCATAGCTAGAGGTTATGAGAAGAAAGGAATGTGAGGACAGCTCACCATCTCTCCTGAGCAAATGTCTCCTCTGACACAAGGAACAAACAGGCCAAGTAACAAAAAAGCATGCATGAGAGACGGTCCTATATTCTGATATAGGACTGAGGCAAGGGCACCCACTTCAGAGGAAAAGCTCCGATTCTGTGAGTTGTAATTTAAACCATGGATAGCCTCCAGAGTGGGGACAGAATGACTGTCGTGAATCCTCTGAGACTGAAAGTCTGTACATTGTGGAATGAGGAAAGCACTGCTCTGCTCTGTGAGCCCATCCCAGTGCCTGTTATCACGCAGCAGGGTAAGTGCTGTATTCAGAGCTGATAAAAGCTCGCTACCAACAGCTCCAGCAGCTCAGGCCTTCAGCCAGCAAACCATCCAAAAATGCACATAAAAGGATGCACTTCAGCAGCTGAACAGAAGACACTAAAACCACAGTGATTTTCCTCTCCTAAGCCTTAGGTTTTGAAGCATGCTGCATAAGGAAGGCTGCTTTTGGGCAGGCTGTTATCTGACAGTCTCGCTGCTGCTGCAGCTGTACATAAGTACTGATCCTCAGCTGATTCCAATCTCTCTGGTATTGTCATGCAAGTATCAGGAGTATTGCTGAGACCATAATTGGAATAATTACACAACTTCAGGGGGAGGAGTGGAGTGAGAGGCAGTGTTTGATACCAGACAAAGACACACAGTGAGCAGCCATGCACATTTAGTTCAGCTTTGTGACTCATTTTCTGACACTATTTTTTGAGGAATTTTTTCCAATCCAATTTTTGCTTTTTGGAAGCTATGTTTCCTGCCAGTACCAAGGCTTTTCTTCTTATCAACATCAGAAGAACTGCTCCCACTTCGCACACGCTCAGCTCCATGTTTACAGTCAGCTCTCAATTAAGGCAATTCCAAGATCTAGGAGTTGAGTTAAAGCAAAACTTTGGAGCATAAAATGTTTTTAAAATTAGACTTGAAATGCAGTTGGTGTGATGGAAAAAGAAGGGCAGCGAGATGGCCAGCTAGTTAACACATATTCTCTTCAGCAGCTGTCCTGGGCTGCCAACAGTGCAGCACAGCTCAATGAGAAGAAGCTTGGGTGGCATTTGCAAGGCCAGTTTGGTGTCTGTGATCTGTGGCAATTTTAAGCCACTCCTGTGGCTTAATCCATTCACAGTAGGTAAGAGGGGAGCACAGCCTTTGAACTTTCAGAAGATTCCTGCAAGCCTTTGCCATGCCCTTTCCAGATGAGCTATCCTGCTCCTTTGCATGGCATCACAGCTCTTTGCAGAGCTCCTTCACTCCTCTGCTGGGATTCATCTCATGAAGTCTATCAGTTTCTCCTGCTCTCAGTATCTCTTTAACTGTAGCAGTCTTGTATGATTCAGAAACTTCTTCCAAAGGGTGTTGAAGTTCTGCAGAAACCATTCCAGGAATCATTACTGTTTCAAATTAACCAATAAATTTCCTATTTTTAGTCATCCTTGAGACATGCAGTAATACTGAATATAGGGTCAAGATCTTCCTTTCAGTACTTGAGGGGAGCTTATAAGAAG